CCCCTGAGCGTTTTCAACAATTACTTCAGCCTGGGGTTCGATGCCCACGTCACGCTGGAGTTCCACGAATCCAGAGGTAGGAAGCAGAGCCCGAAGGAGGATTTTGAGGGACATGACAGACCCCGCCCAAGTTCAAGCCCTAAACCTTTCAAGTCATGGTCTGTGTGTGTGTGTGGGGAGGGTGTCTGTCAAATCTCTTGCCCGGGAAAAATCTGAAGAGCAACTGGAGCATAAGTATACATTTATCTAATATTATATGTACTTAAACAATATTTGTTAGTGTTGTTCCGCACGTAATACGTGCCAAGAAATGCCCAGCCACAAGAGAACAGTATTGATCATCACACAACCGTAAAAATCCCAGGGCAAGTTTAGAAGATGTTTCTTCATCAAACTTCATCAAACGGGGGCTCTTCGGACTCCAGTACCCTGTTTAGTAGCCGGTGGTTAATTGATCCCAGGATCTCATTGTGCTGTGTCTTGAACGAGGCCAAACCTTCAGCTTCAGGCACGTGGCTGGGTAGCTTGTCCCCCACTCCCGCCACTCTTTGTGTACAGAAGCGCCTCCTGCTCTCGCTTCCAACTGCACTGCCACCGAAGAGTGTTTGTTCCTCTGAACATCTGGGCCAATCATGATACAGGCTTTTAAATATCGTTACAATTAGGGGTTACAAAAACAGTGAATATGAGAAAAATTAGAAGCTAGAAAATAGCTTCTACTAGGGTCATCGGTTGATACTGAAGAACCATGGGGGTCCTGGGGTTTTTCAACAGAAAGCTTTAACGTGGCTTTTAAGATCACAGGAAGCCCTGATGCCCTGAACTCTTCCCATCATGCTCTGGGGGACGGGCAGGCTGACAGGTTCCTGCGGTTCGTTTGTTTCTTTGCAGAAGCCAACCCCGAGAAGTTCAACAGTCGCTTTCGGAACAAGATGTTCTACGCAGGGGTGAGGAGCTGTTTTCCCCTTTGTCCTTGTAATATAAATTCCGGTCGACATAAAAAAAAAAAAAACATTTGCGTGTGTGTGCGTGTGATAATCCGCCCCCCAAAAAAAGTTTTGGGGGTGAAGCACACGTCGTCGATAAGTGTGCGTCCGCCCAGGGTGCAGCCTTTAGGCGGTTTGACTAACGAGCTCGACGTCCCTGTGTGTCCACAGGCCGCCTTTTCAGACTTCCTCCAGAGAAGCTCCCGGGACTTGTCGAAACACGTCAAAGTTGTTGTGAGTCGGGAAATGCTTTTCATTTCTTTGCACTTTGATACGAGAGAAGAGGCGTGGGTTTTGTCAAAGGATATAGCCAGCCTCTATGCATATATGTTTCCGTGATTTATAAATATGCTTATTGATCTATATTATTTAGAATGTTTTTTTTGTCAAGGTGTACACACAATTGCGTCAGCCTAAAATAAACATTTAAAGACGCGTCTCCCGTGTTCCTGCTGCACCCCCGCAGAACAACAGTGCCTTGTTTCCCTTCCTCCCCCAGTGTGATGGCACAGACCTGACTCCCAAGATCCAGGAGCTGAAGTTCCAGTGCATCGTTTTCTTAAACATTCCCAGGTGGGTCCGCGGCTCACGGATCTCGGGAATTCCAAGGCGAATGTGGCCGAGGTGGGCGGGAATGCTTGGACCCTCATGCAATATCACTGACCTCATCCGTGACCTTGTAACAGGAGACAGCAAGGCTCGGGTTAGGACAGGAAGATAAAAATAATAATGAATCATCATAATTCCTTCCGGCCAGCAGCCATATC